TGCTCGGCCCCAACTACACAGTGCGTAATGTATAGCTTTAGCTACTACTACAGCACTTAAGAGATAAACGTTCCAACGCAATACAAGATCAATATATTACACGGATTATTATCAGTTCAATTTTCTTTTGATCAACTTTGACGAACAGTACACATACGTACGCAATTTTTGGTAGTCCTCAAACTGTATTTTTCGGTTACTGTATTAATGAAATAAATAATTATACTGTAATAATGCTATGAATGTTTTTACTTAAAAGATAAGTACATTATCTAAAGGAGGTTTATTTAAACGCTGGATACATTAAATTTAAAACCACAATTAGTTAGTAGGTACTCTTATGCTCACAAATCTGTATTCGTAAAAATCTATACGTACGAATATGTGTTATACGTATTTGAGAGTACATCGTCCATGTGAATGTTTGCGTCTGTATATTATCAGCGCACCGGCGGCCTCTTAATTCGGGTGCATAAATCCTATACTGGGAAATATCCCGAGAACTATCGCCACATAGCGGGGCCCTGTGGAACCTGGCCGATCTTCAATGGGGGCCCGCGTTTCCGATAGGATTAAGCCAGACTTACTGCTCGGTCAGAAACACGGCGCGACGCAGTAACCTCCTCGCCCCCCCCCCCGAACCTAGCCTCCCCCCCCCCCCATCGCCGGGCGCATTAGGAGCAATCATATTCGACGGCTGCTACGTTTTGGCATCAGCTCGTGTTGCTTAGCCCGGCCGGGGCTATTTGCAGAACAATGATTGGTGGTGTCTTACTTTGTGAGGTCGATAGGGCTCACTTTCGCCTGGCGGCGCTCCGAGTTGATTGGAGTGGTAACGCCGGCCGGGCGTCCTATTTGTTTTTGTTGAGATCGGCTTGCTTATCCCCGACGCCGTTTGTAGGACACTTGATTTTAAATGTCTTCCCAGATCAGTTTCCTTTTTCGAATTCCGATTTGATATCCGCTGATTGATCGCTTGCGTATTCTAAAGTTCTTTCGCTAAACGTATCAGAGAACATAATGGATCTTCTTAATGGAAAAAGACGAACCAATTAAGAACGGTATCACTACACAGTATAAAACAAATTGTTCCCGCTGTCTGTCTGTCCCATATATGCTTAAATCATTAAACCTACGCAACGGAATTTGATGACGTTTTTTTACTAGATAGAGTGATTGAAGAGGAAGGTTTTTATGTATAATACATTGCACCCGTGCGAAGCCGGGGCGGGTCGCTAGTTTGTATTAAAACACGCACATGGACTAAAACTTATAACTCGTTCGAAGACCGGCACGGGAGATCACTTCGGTGTACATTTTCTTAGGAAGTGTTGAGTTTAGAAATGCTTAAATATGAACGCGGCGTGTTATGCTTGTAGCGAGTCTAAGTAATGCGTTTCGTGGAAACTCGCACGTTCCCAGATAAATAATAAACATACGTCCGATACACGGATAAACAATAAACCTCATTGGAATCGGCCAGCAATAATACCGGGGGATAATTCGGTGTCTATTTGTTTAATGCGAATGGAGTGCCGGTGCACACTTCGGCATTGTCGCACGGGAGCGGTGGACGGCGACAATGCCTCGCGCGGTAATAATGGACTCAGGTGCGGAGATAACGCGTCGTGGGCGCTTCTTTGTGGCTGTGTTATTTAGTTTCCGATATTGTTTGTAGTCTTCAAAACAGAGTTCCTTAATTCAGTCTAAGTTGCCAAAAGACACAATTATGAAAGTATTGAACATATTATGTAGTGATACTGTTTAATCTAATATATAAAATTCTCGTGTCACGGGGTTCGAACTTGAATTCCTCCGAAACGGCTCGACCGATTTTTACCAAATTTTATATGCGTATTCAGTAGGTCTGAGAATCGGCTACTATCTATTTTTCGTCCCCCTAAATATTAAGGGGGTAGTCCACCCCTAAAATTTTTTTTATTTTTTATATAAAACTTTGTGTTTCTATTTTTTTATGACACAGCATACAAAAATACATACAACCCTAAATTTTCACCCCTCTACGCAGACGTAGTCGCGGGCAGCAGCTAGTAATCTTATAACAATAAGAATTTACTCTATAATTTAGCTTTATAAATGTTTTTTTGTTATTTTAATTTATTTAAATACTTGCGTATGATAATATTCATACTTTTTATATTATCGAAAACTTGATACAAAAACGCATCCCGGCTATATTATTATTTTAATAAATTTTGCCTAATTTAATAAACGGTCTGCCAGGTTAATAGTCCACAATTTTGCTCCTAAAAGCAATTGAAGAGTTGGTGGTTGGCGGTTTAAAACATTGCACCACCAGCTTAAATTACACGTAGTCTTCGCTCCAACACTCAACATAAACGTAAGGCATTCGCTGTACCCATTCTAAAACGGCGGACAAATGAGCCGAGCGAGACATCCAAACGCTCAATGAATAAAGACAATAAAAATCATAAACAGTAACTCGCTGAAACAATTAAAAGCTTAAATTATAGCTAAGAACCATCTCGATCACGTAAGCTTAAAAACAAAATCACCGCACCATAACCGGTCCATTGGTTCAGAAGCTTCTATACCACAGACAGACGCACACACAGACACGTGAAACTTATACAACCTCTCTTCGCGGGTTAACAAAATAACGCGGGAAACGCGCGCCGTGCGAAAAATCCCTACCCTGTTAATGCGGGGGATTCCTTAGACCCTGCGACGCGCCGGTACACCCCCTCCCCCAGGTAAACACGGGCGGCTCTCCTTCTGAGTACAGCAGACGGACCCTGACCTAGTCGCGCCAGCACGTTGGGGCGGGTCGGGGGCGCTCGCCGTTTCTTTCCGCTGCGACCTACTCCGCTAATACGGGCCTCACGCCCGCACTAAGCGAATTACCACGCGCAAGGATTACTTCATTCGTACCTTGGCTCCGTCTTTTACGGTGAATAGGTTTCGATTTCGAGTGGACATGTGATGCCTGTACATATCATCGCTGAACTTGTAGAAGGCGTGTAATAAACAAAACAAAAACTTATGATGTTTATTAATATTACCTTGCATTAGTTAAAGTTTATTTTTTATAAGCATTCGTTTTTAGGATACGGTAACTTTAGCTTGACTACGTCTTTTACGTTGAAGCGGTTTCGATTCCGAGTGAATGGACACATGATGCCTGTACATTGCATCACTGAACTTGTGGCAGGCGTGGAATCACATCTCTCACCAACACTTGTGATGGTTATTATTTCCTTGCTTTAATTAGTTTCTTTTTTATAAGCAATTGTTATTCTCTCGTTTTTCCGATCTTTTTGCTGACTTATGATCATATTCAATACATTGTCGCATATTTTTTATCTTTCGATTACGTTTTAATACGACGTGAAACATTCTTTGCACGTTATAGGCACGGGGTCTTTGCTGAAGCAAACTTCACATATCTTGGAATGTTAATTTTATCTCTTCAAACATGCAGACACTTGGTTAATTAGCACTTAAAAATTGCAATTAACGGCTCCACCGATGTCGGCACCGAGTCCGCACTCTGTATTTGGAACGTAAAGAGCCCGCCTTATACCGAGAAATAATGAAACTTTTTCATCGATGATAATATTAATTACTCCATACTCCGCTTGTACTGTTTAATGTCTCAACATCGGTTACTAGGCGCAGTGTAATATCCAAAAACAACAGCTGCTCGCGAACTTAACAGGTCACAATGAGGTAAATTTCAACGAAATTTTCTTCTAAGTGTTGTGATGCTACAGTGCGTAATTAAACACTTACTATCAGCCACAAAAAAGTCTCCTGATATATTGATATCAAAAAAGTCTCCTGATATATAGGTATCATTGGATACCAGTGGCTTTATCCATGACGGGTTGACGTCCTCGGAGTGTAAAGTAATAGTCATTAATTACCATTACCCAGTCGGATATCCCCCATATTTACCCGGTGACGTAACTGCTACGACTTGTAAAATCTAAAGTACCACAAATAATTTTACGATTTCATATTGCATCGTAATCAAATTGAGTTGATCAAAAAAGTTAGTGCTAATCGCATCCAAAGCCAACAGATGAATAAAAAAAACGAGAATAAAATATGCTAATAACTAAAAAAAGACCAATAAACCCGTGTAGAAATGGCTCAACAAATGCCGGGTAGCCTTTTTGTCTCTCGTTTTCTAAGCGACGCATCTGCTACGACTTTATACTGCGGATATCCATTGACCTGTTACAGTTGGTAAATAATACACTGAATAGTACATTAGTGTAGAACCTTTCAATTCTTAGATGCGATGATTACTTACAATAAGTGTCTTGCTAGTTTGAAAATTTATCGTTAAGAATAGCTTAATTATTCGCATTTGAGTCAAGTTCAAGTCCGTATAACGTTTACCGAATACTACACATTATTAAATGATAGTATTTTATATATTTTATTGTTTAACATTAAACCTGGACACTACACCGACAGCGGCCGCGGGATAGACTTAGATGTTTGACTTTGGAGTTGACTTTAGAATACTGCCTTTAGGAGTGTCTATTCATCTTTATTTTGCCATTATCTCTATTGGATTGTATTCAAGCTCTCAGTAGTAGGTATTCTCAAAAGCTTTTTCGCTCACGGAATTTCTGCAATCGCTAGCAGCTTGTCTTTTTTTTTGTGAAAAGCTCAAGTGAGCTTGCGGTTAACCCAATGTAAAGTGAATACCGGTACGGTTACCTCACTAACCAGACGAAATATGAAAGTGTAATACTTAACGCCGGTCTTCTGTGAGATCGTGGTACTTCCCTGGACGAGCCTAACATACGTGCAATGGCAGAAGTTGTTTTAGCCCTACCACAGTATACGTACTCATCATCATCATATCAGCCGTAGGACGTCCACTGCGGAATATAGGCCTTCCCCATTGACTTCCACTTCGACCGGTCGTTAGCGGCCTGCATCCAACGCGTCCCTGCGATCACTCAGTACGTTATTTACGGTGAAATTCCAATTGTCCGCAGACGAGTCGGGATGCGAGGCTGATATGTTGGAGGGCTCGGAGGTGGGACGGCACTCGCCGCCCCGGCCGCAACAGGAGCCCATCAATCTCAAGAATGAGGTAAGTCCACCGTAGATAGTCATCTCAGCTGAGCGCTCAGAAACGAATTAAGCTCGCTCTCAGTGGTAGACAATAACGCCCGGTTTCTGAAACACGGATCATTGTAGAAGTCAACTAATCAGCTGCCAAAAGGATTTTCAAATGTTATTTGAGTTGCCAAAAGGATTCTTAAACTCTCTGAATTGTTCAGAATGATCTTCTTAGTGATCAGTGTTTCAGAAACCGAGCGTAAGTCTATCAGATGTATGGTCTCCTTTGTGGCGTGGCATTGGCAGTTCATATGACCTCCGTTCGGCGGTCTTCACTTATTAACTGATGACTCTTAACTCAGGTCCTGCGATTTGGTCTGTTAGGAGAACTTCTAAATAATATTCAATCTAAAACAATTTTGACACCAACTACATTATTACGCTTAACTGTTTCTTCTATCGTCTAGCGTCTAAATAAAGTTTAAAAACGACACTACTATTGGATTATCTTAAGACATATCACCGTCACTGTAAGATTGGCATCACTTAAAGACGTGTTACACGGATGGCATAAATTATGGATGCACATCCGAATCCGGAAAATTCTTAGAATCACTCTTTTGCATCTGGGATAAGTGGACAGAAACCAATAAATGTTTTATTACAACGCTTCCTTACGTAGGTCTTTTATTAAGTATCTTGCACATCATATAGTATGTTTAAAGTAGATTGCCAAATCTAAAGAATCACAAATAACAGTTCGAGTTGACTAGCCAACGAGATTTTAGTTGATTGTCAATCTGAAATCCAAATCGCATCCAAAGTCAATAGACTACGAAACAAAAAGAGAAGAAAGTAGAGTAATAAAAATTTTTAAATAATGGTAAACGTAATCCGCGTAGAAATGGCTCAAGACATGACTTTTTACTCTTGCATTGTAACATAAATAGAATTGAGAAGGTATCACTAACCGCCGTATCTTATCCATCAATTCATTCCACTGCGCATTAAAGGAAAACTAGAAAAGAACTCGATCATGTAATCGATCTTAATCTAACCCAATCTCGAATCGACCTGAAGACAAAATATTTCATTAAAATTGGTCCACCCGTTTAGGAGGAGTTCAGTGACACACACGTACAGAAGAATCATATATATTAAGATAATATTCACTATAATAGTTACAAGATCTTATTATGACTTCATAGTTCTCCGCTTTAAGGACTAAATCTCTTGTCGATCAGATAGTTATATTAAATTAAAAGGCCTAGTTAGTAAGGTATAATTATTTATTTATCATACTTCGGTATTTAGATTAGTGTTAAGCAGAAACGTGAAGGCTTTAAAATAGACATTTATAATAAGTCTTTTGTTTTTTAATAATATTTAAAAAGTTTATTATAGCCCTTAACCTGGCATCCCCAACTAGAGCAGTGCGGCACACTTCAGCCCTCTTACAACAAGAGGGCGCCGGTGTCCTACAGTGGGACGAACATACTTGTGATGTATATATATCTAATAATGAAAAGAGGCCTATTATGCTCGGTTATGTGCGAAAAAACTAAGCGTACATTAACTCCTAGGTAGAAAATTTTAATTATCAATATCGAAAGTTAATACGCGAGTTATTAATTATATACATCATTAAATTGTGACTGTATTTATCTCATCTAGTTGCTAAGAAAGAGAAGTAAGTGTGAAGGGTTCCATATTATTGTACTGCACCCAAAATCGTTGTAAGAAGAATATAGGTTAGTTTATCAATTTATAGGTTATGTTTTTTGTTGGTCGTTAAAACATACATTTTGTTTAAAATGTGATAATTATAAAATATAAACGTAGCCCCTTATGCCTTAGCAAGCTTTTTTTCATGTTTTGCTTAATAGTTCTGACCATCTGTGCTATTTTGCGCAATTAAATTAAAAAGACATTTATTCTTGAGTGTTGACGATATTTAGCAAAAGGTACACAAAATTAGGTTAGGTTTTATGACATTTACAAGTACAAATTATTGCTATGTTAGGAATCAAACTCAGGTCCAGTGAATTAGTAGATATTATTAGATAAGGAAATGGGTTTATTTGTGCTTTCAATAACTATGCTGTTTATATTCATTTGAAAACACTATTTGAAATGGTGTTTCTTATAAATGAACCAGTAATCGATTCGTTAGGAATGGCCCGATCAAAGGGAGAACTTTAGTAGGGCATATGTACCGTCTCACCTTCTATTTTCGCGCGCGCGGCTCCAGAAAGTTCGTTTCGCGGCTGACCGTAGCGGGCCCGCACTCGGCGCCTCTGAACAGTGCCCGGAGCACCGTGCCCGGACAAAGTTGAGTGCGAACGAGCGTGCTTAATCCTCGAGTGGCCGAGGCAGAGGTGCCACGCACGGAGCCCGGAAAAGCCCGCTCCAAACCATAGGGGCGGCAAAGGAAACAAAAAGCACCGCTGCTGCCGAAACGGCCGACCAATCGTGGTACCCGCGCAGTACTTGCCGGAATCTATAGTATCGATTAGTGAGCGCTTTTTTACCCGCACGCACACACGCCGCGGCGGGGGCCATGCCTTTTTAACAATCTTTTTTTTTTCGACCGGCCGCTCCCCCCCCCCCCCACCCGAAACCGCCGCGTCCATTGCGCGCATGCAAAGACCACCCCCGCGCCCCACCCCCCCGCGTAGCGGCATTGAAAATGGAATTTCCATGAGTGATGGAGTGTCAAACGGGAAGCAAAAAGGAGTAAAAGGACATTATGTTAATTATTGAACGCGTGCCCCCGTAGCCGGAGTTTAAATTGAATGTCATGTCATACTGTGTCGTCGCCTCTCCTGTGTGCTGCTCTCGTCGGTCGGTTGTTTTTTTCCGTACGTGCTTTTTTGCTGATTAAGTTGGACCGCTGTCGGTACCACGCTCTGGCAGAGAACTAATTGTACCGGCAGTCCGGGATTTGTCGATTGTGGCTTCAAAGTTATTTTAGCGAAAATTTTGTCAAGACGCACGAATTAATGTGGTCTTATTCTTCCCGCCTTTCATTGGATATTAAGACAAGCGTGCGCGTTTTTTTTACGTTAATGACGTAAAAAAACGTAAAATCAACAAACAACTTTAAATAAATTATTAAGTCAAAGGCGTACTGATTTTCTGAAAGCTTAAGTAAGATATTTCAAACAGCTCATTTTTTTCCTATTATTTCCTCTCAAAGAAATAATAGAAGACAAAGTTACAACTGTTGTAAAAGACGATATTCAGAATAAAATTGTTACAACTGTTGAAAAAAACGATATTAAGAATAAAATTAATTAATACAGAGAATTCATTACGTAGTCACATTTGCACATTCTTAATGTTCGGTTATTAAAATGTTAAAAAACTGCAATGATCCCATACAAAAAAAATTGTAATAAAATAATTTCTAAATGCTATCATTTGAATTCAATTCATTTGAACAATATTACCATTCAGTATTGATCATAATGCGTTCGATACATTCCTGCTAAAGTTGTCCATATTACTAATAGTTTCCTGGGCAAATGGATATAATTAAAGACAACAAATAGTTAAAGAAAGATTTGTCCGATAATCGTACCCATTCATGGTATTAGCACTCCGCGCGTAGAGGCCGTAAAGGACACGCAAAAAAGGAATCCTGGGCTCCCTCGGACATTCTTTTTCCTTTTTAACTCATTCCACCGTTTACCCTTCTTTAATGCTTGTTGGACTTAACATGCCCTCGTTTCATTGAGGTATTCGTCGTGAACGTAAGAATAAAAGAGCGTAAATTTTGTTTACCGCGTTTTTACACGCTTCCTTGTCTGTCTGTTAGTTTGTGAGTCGCGTGCTAACAAACAGGTAACGCAACTTTAAGTTTTACCATAGAATTGTAATTTTCGACTATGATGAACTGGTAAATGCTATACAAAGTAGCCTTTATCATATTGATGTAAGCGTATTTCGATTCAAATATTGTTTTGTGTATATCCTGATATCAAAGAGTAGTAGCGTCGTAAGTTTTTTTTTTCTATGAGAAGGCGTCAAGCGAGTTGAGCGGTTCATTGATGTTAAGTGATAACCGCCGCCTCCCTCGGGTTGCAGAGGCGTTGTCACCTTTTAATGGAGTGGGCCCCGGCTACCTCACTCACCAGACGAAACGCAGAACTATCCATAAAGCTTTTTACGCCGGTTGAAGCTATGAATGACGTCCCAGTGTTCCGATTAAACGTCGATTTTTAATCGTGCATTGTCTCCTCTCGCATGAAACGTCCGACAACGTAACAAGACATGGTGCACTTTTTGCCAGGGACCGGGGGGGGGGGGAGCGGATCGTGTGCGCCAAACGCACGCCGTAGTCCAACGCAGCCAACTATTCAGATAGACGCATCGCTAATGGAAACCCCCGAAAAAATATCGCGGTCGGGCGAAAAGGTTGAAAAAAAAAAAAAGAGCGCCAAGCACATTTGAATGAAAATTGGGTGGGGGCGCGCCGCACGGTCCGACGGCCGATCGGCCATTATTATTATTATTACCGGCATTATATCTGCGATTTTTTTCCCGCGCACACCGCCGCGCGGGCGCCATTTTCGTTTTTCTTGGTTTTTTTCCCGCCGACCCCCCCCCCCCGGCCCGGCGCCCCGCGCCCGCGCGTTCGGACGCCGGATGCGAGCGAACTATGCGATGTCTACAAGTGGACGAACATTTAAATTGGCTCTCATCAAATATTGACTACGTGTAGGTTTTTTTTTTTCCATTAACCGGCCGGCTTTTTGTTAAACCGATACGGGATACCGCGGAGCGCTACTTCTGTGCCGCGCTTTTGATCGGGCTTAGTGCTTCGCGCTAATTAGGACAAGGCGAAATATGGCGCCGCGCGCATACGTCTGTCAGTATACGTAAATTTTCCGAAGAGAGGTAGTTTAATGGTGAGTTGGCCGCTTTCCTTTAAGGTCCAACGCCATACGTCGCATGCATTGGCACATATATGCCCGTAATCGGCTAACTCTAGACTAAAAGCGAAATTGAAATACTGATTAAATGTCGTTTTGTTGTTGACTATAACTGGCTACCTTACTCTAAACTAATAGCGAAATTGAAGTATTAATTGAATTTCGTTTTGCTGTTGAGTAGCCCCATTCAGCAGCAGAAGCTGGGTGGGTCTATTACTAAAGAACACACAAACAGAAAGACAAAATACTAGAACTAATTATCGCCACATTCTTTTTAATTGGGCCTGTTAAGCATTTTAACTTCCGATCATAGATCTAAATTGGGGATATTGTAAATTGACAATAGTTTTAAAATATGACTTAGAAGATTCATAAATTTTTGAAAAGATAAAAATCATACTTTTTTATTCTTAACCTTACTCTCCTGTTGTAGGCACCTGTGCAATGCGCGGTCAAAGACACTGGAGACGAAAAAATTCCGTATATATTTTAAAATAGTTTTCTGATGAAAGCAGAACGCATCAAACTCTAATAAATAAATTTCGGAAATTTCCGGTTAGCGCTGACAGTAAATTAATTACAAGTTAAATTAATTAATAAACGGGCGATTGTTATAAATGTCCAGAGACTTATCTTTGATTGAAGGAATCAATTTATAATCACAACTTAAGTCGTCAAACTTGTCATTAATATTCACATACAATTCTTTAATTAATCTTTTTTAAATTTAGTCATCTCTTTATATTTTAATGCCTGGTGTATTATTAGACTCTTTTTAACAAAAAGGTCGGAGAATCCTCAACTTTTACCCGTCAGAGTACAAAAGACGTGCCACATTTTATTAGGTTTAGTTATGAATACCGGTAAGCAAAATTACCCAATAAAATAACATACTGCAGAGAGTTTCTTAGCAATATCGTTTGAGTCAATAATTTATTTGGACAAAGTCGTCTCTTTCTACGTGCTTTAACGTTACTGTTCGCCGATGAAAGGAGTTTTTTTTATGTTAGCTGGCGGTTCACCTGATGTTAAGTGTTAAACGCCGCACACGGACATTATTTCTAACACCCGTGTGGTTGCAGATGCGTTGCCGTTTAATAAACTCGGCTGGCTACCTCGCTCACCAGACGAAACGCAGAAGCGTAACACTTCCACCTCACGCCGGTCTTCTGTGAGGCCGTGGTACTTCCCCGGATGGACCAGACCATTCGTGCCAACGGCTATGACTATTGCGTGGTCCTACCAGTATCACGAACTGTCTTCAAGAAACTAACTACACGAAACCGCACGCTTCAACCATGTTCGGATTATGACATTGTCTGTTTCGAATGATTTGTCGCGGCTTAAAAAAGGAACAATCGAACGCTCTAGTAGATACATCGCTCTCGGCGCAACTGTGTTTATTATCGTTTAAAAAAGGAGAAAAACGCAAAAATCATAATGAAAGCGGTGGGTGGCGGAGGGGGGGAGGGTGGATCGGCATTTTTTATTTTAATTGGCTTGTAAATTCCCAAACTTATAGTGGGACGCTGCGAAGTGGTGTCCCTATTCGGTCGTACCGCGCAGTTTTAAATTTTCACACGTACGGCTTAAGAGCCAATGACGGGTACAAAGCGAAGCGTTGCTTTGTGGAATTGGAGGGTCTGTTTGATTTGCTCGCGAATCGCATTTTTCCCGTAATAAGCGACAAGAAAGCTTCGTACTACGCGGGTGATGTTTTGCGCTAGCCTTGTCTGTTAAACCTTGAACTTGTTAGTTAATTGTACTCGTAATGATAAATTTTCGGCATCGAATGATTATACAAACGCGAATAATGCATTGTTAAATGGGACAATTATTTTGGGACTAATCGAGTGATTATGGATGCGGTAAATGCTGAAATCTGTCGGAATTACAGTTTGAAAATGAGACCAGTTAAATTCGGAATAACAGTTTCGAATAATCACTGTTGCTTTATATCTTTTAATTTTAAGTTTTTAATGTTTTCTTTATCGATAAATACTATTTATAATTAAAACTCTTCTATTATATTATATAATTAAATTATATTTGTCCACAATCCTATATTTGTCTTATTAAATCGGCTGTTCAAAGGACGAATTTAGGTAAACTTCAATAAGTATAACAACGAGTTAAGAAATAAGTCAGTTAAGTTATAAGTACTAAGTACTAAGTAACGTCCAAACGTAGGCGTGTGAGTAGTCTGCTTCTTGGAGTAGCTATTTATGACTACTTATAAGTAGCTACTTCGAGAAGCAGACTAGTCATAATAACGATTGCTTTACGTAACTCAAAAGAGGATCTAGTCCTCCAAGAAATCCATAAAATCGACGTTGAATCACTCAATACCTATTGGCGTGCTATAAGAAAAGTAGTGTCAATACTTGTACAACACATTGTAAATGAAATAACAAAATAAATTATTAGATCCAAGCGCATACGGGTAAAAATGTGGATAGTGGTTCGCAAAAGAAAGCCACTGACCTGAGAAGAACCGGCGAAAGGAACTAAACGGGTTATTTTTTTTCTATTTTCTGACAAACATTGTGTGACATGAATATATTAAATACAATATAAAACGTCCGAATGAAAGAGCCTGGGGCGATAAATTCATTACCAGGATGTGTTATCATTTAAATAATCAATAATATTATAAAAGCCTTTAACACACAAATGTTTTTTGACATTTTTTAAATTTAGCTATTGATAAATTTTGAAAGTTTTCTGTGATTTTGTTGTAGAATCGAATACATTGTCTCATAAAAAAATTACTTATTCTACGCAGTCTACTTGTGGGTAGGATAAAGTTATGTTTTTTCCTAGTATGTATATCATGAACATTATTACGTCTTGAACATTCATCCTTATTTTTATGGATATACATAACATTTTCAAGGATGTACTGAGAAACAGCAGTCAATAACAACTTAACTCGCAGATGAGGCAAATTAATGGACTACTGTACTTATTCATGTGTAAGGGAGCCTTTAAAGACCCGTGTCAACAGACTTTCATAGAGGCAGAGCGTTTGTCAATAATGATTTAATTGTCATTTCAATAATGCGGTCGGTTGATGCTCAGATATTAGCTGGTTCGTGATAAGGAAAACATAGCCTTATACTCCAGCTCCCAGTTCTAAAAAGCTTTGACTTTATTATGAAATAAGGTAATGCACATATGAGAGAACGTACCAAGTTCGGGGGCAAGAAATCCGCGCCGGGCGAGCTTAATAAAACGGCTTCGACGGATTTATCGCTCTCCTCCGCTTTGGAACGGGACTTGAGCGAAAATTTCCATTAATTCTTCCCACTCATTTATCCACAATTTCCTATCAAACGGCGCGTTCAATCTCGTCGCCGGCTCGAAACGAGATTCGGGTTTTTTTTGCATCACGTGCAGTTCTTATCAGGTGGTCTTGGTGAGCTCAGCGCCGGCCTATGTCATTAATACGATCCGTTAACGTTTAACGGAATGTTTTCTCGTCAATTGGAGTTGAACAAATCGCGGAAACGCCTTGGAAGGAACACGGAGAGATGGTTTTCAACGTCTTGTCAAAGAGAAGATGAGATGAGCTTAAGTGATCACCGTTCATGAAGCCCCGCTCTCAACACAAGAAGTACGTCATAAAGGGCTTTGAGACTTTTTCCAGATGAGCCACACTATAGTTGTTGAAACACGAAAAAGTGCAACATGGCGCCGGATATAAATAAATAAAAAATAGATGAAACGCCCAAAATATTCGCAAGACAAACGCTAGGCGAACGGTGTGAGCCGGCCGTTGTGTAGCGCGGCAGCCGACCCATACCCTGGAGGTATCGGTGCCAACAAAGATACACGTGCGGATCTTGAACCGGCGGATTATCGGATGCATCGAGGGCTGTAGGGGCGAATATCGCCCGGGGCGGTGGCCGGCGGCGCGTCGCCGCCTCCTGAGGCAGGGCTGGCGCAAATAAATCTCGTGGCCCGACCGCGGCTGGTCAGCCCACGGAGGACGCAAGTGATTGATCAAAGTCGTTTGTCAGGCTCGCGTGGCGGCTGCAGCCCTGCGCAATTAGCACATGATTCCGCCGCACTAATGCGCGCGTTCGGCTCTGATTAGATAACTGCGGAATTCTTCGAGGTCGAATCTTTATCGCGATGCGACCGACATCTTGCGAAAATATTAAATCTAGAAGAAATTTTTTCAATAATAATAATAATGTATAAACCGTAAGCCACATTTAGGTAATAAAATTTAATTTTAACGGTTAACTTGTCACCTTCTTCGAGGGCAATTGATATAACTAGAACTCGAGCTATAAAAATTAAAATACAATCTTAGAGTAGTTATCTAAATTCTCTCTTTCCGAGATAAATTTGATGAACTAGTTATTTATCGTTTAGAATCTTAAGAACAACTCTGAATGAGAGTAATTTCATGTCCTTGTGTTGTATTTTTGTTGACATTTTTTGTAATGCATGATTTAAAACTTTCTTAACTCTTTCTACCAATTTGTAACGTCCACGCCCGTTGTTTTATACACTAAATGGTCAAAGTAAACCAGTCAATGTAAAGTAACTGCGGAAGTAAGGTCGTATCACATCCGAGCGGGTTGGAAATGAATCACTAAGCATTCTATGACACGTTGACGTTTTTGATCAATGGCCCCTGTGTTCTACTATTCCTTCCTAAAGACTACCGCTTCGACAAACGACAAAACGTGTCCAGGCAATGGTTTTCGCCTTTAAACAATCTGTATACTACGTACTTTAATAATATTCTAAGGAAATAGCAATGTTATTAGTAGTATTAAAATTATTTCTAGATTTTATTTTGATTGAGTATATTATTTATTCTCTTTATTCTCTTCTCTTTACATTATTCTTTATACCAAGAAGGTTAACAAACTAAGTCATCCACTAAGGTGGCTGATATAAGGTAGAAAAATTAGCTAGAGCTATAAAAAAATTGTTCCTTACAGAATATGTAAGGAATTATCTGTTTAATCAATCGTAATATACACATGTAACATTCAAGTATATTTTATACTGCAGAGTAACCGTGTATGCCATCATTGATTAATGTTACTAAGTCTACAATTAAAACTGTATTCAGACAGTGGTACCCACTCCCATAACTGTCTCGTATTTAAATCTGCCATACTCATCCACCGAAAAGAAGTCGGCTTTAGCAATCTGTCTACTGCTGTTTACGTTTCTATTGTGTAAAAGAGCTCCGTTTACTAATACTTAAGAGCGCAAGTCTATTCGGTAAGAGAAAAAATATTACGGATTCCCAACGCACTGATGATGGCGACTGACGGTGTAAGGGGAAAAACCCACATCGCCATTTCTCTATGGGCAGCTAATTTTGGTGATGTTTCCCGATACCAAGAGAAAAACAGACGCGAAGGAACGAGTTAACACGGGCAACACAAACGCGATAATCGATACAACGCATAGGCGTGAATGGAGAACGGCAATAAAAAAACGCGAGGGCGCACGCCCGCCGTTTACGAGCGTAAGAAACTAGCTGAGGACCAATTATTGGCCGATGAATATTCAGGTGCGTTTACAACACAAAAGGGGCGCCGTGTCGGGCAATTAGACAGTGCTGCGGACGAGGGGCCCGAAGCTATAAGCACGTTAGATGCACCGAAAGTCGTCTGGATCCGGAGACCAGATCCTTTGAAAGCTTCAAACGTTAGGTTATGCTCTGACGCCTGTAGCGATTAATTTTATTTGGGCATTTTCGTTATGTACTTGTTAGATCCAATCAATAAAAAGTAAGACGATGCCGCCTTTTGTACTTCTATGCCTTTTCAACCATAGATTTCGTTTTGATTGTAACTTCAATAACAATGTAAAGTTTAAAAGTACAAGAACAAATTTAAAAGTAGCTTCTGATGTTATGTAATATAATATTACTAACTGCTTCCCGCGACTACCTTTGCGTAGAATAGGCTGAAGGCGTAACATTCAGACAGAAAGACAGATATACATAAAATATCTATATAAATTATAGCCTATGTCTTATTCTGATGTATAAGCTATATTATTGTAAAGTTTCATTAAAATCCATTCAGTAGTATTTGCGTGAAAGAGTAAAAAACATCCATCCATTCTCCATACAAACTTTTGCCTTTGTAGTATTAGTAAGGATTTAAGAACACCAATATACAATCATGTCGTGCATGTGCCGCCGTCTTTGAAAACTGAACTTCGAATCATCGCATGCACCAACAATCTGTTAAATAGCATCACCCTGCCTTTTACAGTAGCAGTTCTGTTTGTGGCAAATCCGCAAAACCCCCGAGGAAACTGTAGTCTGTCTACAGGCACTGTCGCACAAAGCTCCTTAGCCTTTGACACTGAAAGCGACACATCAGACGAAGAAGACCATTCGTAGTACAATACGAAGACGTACCGTACCTCTTCTAGGATTAGGCTATTCGCATGTTTAACACTTCTTGTCTTGGCCGAGTTCTGTCGAGACATACGCTACATACATGCTAAAAAGCTTTGCATACCCTATCGAATCATACAAATATGCCCTTAACACTAAAACATGGGAATTATAGTAAAGGATTTTTTTTAGGGTTCCCTATCCAAAGGACCAGAACCCTATTACTAAGACTACGCTGTCTGTCTGTCTGTCCGTCTTTCACCAGGCTGTATCTCATGAACCGTGATAGTTAGACATATGGTATACTAGCTGCCGCCAACGATTACGTCTGCGTAGAATAAGCTGAAGGTGTAACATTAAGACAAAATGATAGATATACATAAAATATGTATATAAATTATAGCCTATTTCTTATTCTGATGTATAAGCTATATCATTGTAAAGTTTCATTAAAAGCCATTCTGTAGTATTTGCGTGAAAGAGTAACAAACATCCATCCATACATACAAACTTTCGCCTTTGTCATATTTAGTATGGAAGTAAGGATGCAGGATGGTATATCACCTTCGCGGTGTGAAAGAGAAGGTTTTGCAGCGGGACGCTCGCTATGACGTCACCGTCGAAGTTCTCATCGCAATAAACACTCGGAGGGCGACGTCCCGACATTGAGGGCGAGTTAAAATGCGGAATCACGTACATTACCGCTCGTCCATTCTGTACTCTCCTTTTTCCGTGTTTAATACACTCGAGCGCGGTCCGCGGTGGGCATTGAGAGGCGTTCCATTTTTAATTCAATTCAAATAATGTTTCGATCCAACGTTCGCTGGCCGGTCCCGTACGTTAGGTGAACGGCATCCGAATAACGACTGTTGGCTTGTGATGGGAATAATTCTATTCGCTGTCTAAGTTTGTCCGACGTTCGTAACATAAAAAAAAAAACATACAGCCCGCGGTCCTCACGGGGATGTGTCATTTTTATGTTTACGGATTAGTATATAATTAGGCTATTTTTTTATATACCACCATTTGGCATATCGTCGGTTAAGTCCTTTATTAGTTACTTAAGAAGTTATTGATACAAAAATTAGATTTAACACCAAGAAAGAAGTATTTTCTTGGTTAAAGACGAAGTGTCTTGTTACATTTAACATTTTGGGCTGTATTTTTAAACAACGTTATCTAGTCACAAACTAAGCAAAGCATTTACAGCACGTACCAGTTAAAAAATAAATACGTATTAAATATAACGTTCATTTTGGTATAAATAACACTATGTTCATAACACAATATTTTTCCCGTCGTACGTGTTATAGATTCGTAAATTTATACACAAGTCGGATATGTTCATTTCTTTTCATTTTTATGTCCTGAAATATACCATACCGTCAGTACACCAGAAATTAGCCTAATGGTTTTAAAAATAATATCTCACATTTTAGAACAGCCATAAGTAAATGATGTTCAAAGCATTGAAATGGACGTAACAGCTCTTCCAAATCGGTTCCACAAACTGGCGTAAACGAGTAATGCAGCTCAATTGAAAATATAGTATCCTCTATGCAATTTAACTGCAACCTGTTCATTTCCATTTCTGTGATTAACATTTATCATTACTGTGGCAGGGCCATGCAGCAGCCTCGGCTGTTACACGAATGGACAGGCTCGTCAGGGTAAGTACCACGACCTCACAGAAGGCCGGCGTAAAGTGGAAGTATAACAAATACTTTCGCGTTTCGTCTCGTAAGTGAGGTAGCTGGAGCCCAATTTCCAAAAGGTTGTCAACGCATCTGTAACCCTCGGGTGTAGCAGATGTCCATGGGCGGCGGTATTCACTTAACATCAGGTGAACCGTCTACTCGATTGGCAACTTTTCAGATTAAAAAAATAACATTAGTTGTCGTCTCCATTTTTGGAAAAGGAAATTATACGTCACGTTCATCTTGAGGAAAATTTAATGGCTGAAACAGAAAACTATTGAACCGTAGCGTATTTGATCACTCACTTAGTACATATATTTATCAAGACCTTAAATAAATTGACGCGGTAAGCGAAAAGTTCTGGAATGTTCGTCATAACAAGTTCGTTGATAAAATAACGAATATCAATTGTTCAAAAACGATTTTGTTCGAATGGAAATTCGAAGATTCCAATAACGGTGTCGAATGGCTGGGAGTTAATAAAATTTAGGTCTATAACACGACTGCTCTAAGCGGGCACGGTATTTAATCACCGGTACCTAATGTTTGAATATTGGATTCGAAATTTAAATATTCGCATTCGAATGTTCGCGCGTAATGAACGTTGTCTCGAGTTCACTTCGCGCTATATTTATGCGGAGGTCTGTAAAGTTTGTCTTTCTGCTCTTGTGTAAGGCATAATAACTGAGATTTAGAAAGGAAGAATTCGTCTGTAAAAGAGTTTTTATATGAATTAGTGTACTATCCCTCTCTCTATTTGTAGATGAGAACGTGACGTTTGAGTCTTTCATTATAAAATTTTTCGAGTTCGCTCTGTTCATTACCTCTTACTACAAATTGAATTCGCTCTTATCTTAAAGCGTGATATGTAAAATTGGCCGTAACTAGTACATTTACGTAGAAAATTTAAAAGGCAGAAAGCTTGAAAAATAGCGTTGCTTAGCAACGCTCTTTGTTTCTCAGACTCAGTGTATGGTCAAGACATATTTTCTGTAAAGTTTCAAAATTTAGTTGAATATATGTGGACCTTAAATTATAATTAATAAAATTAATCTATGGAAGTAAGAGCCACATAGTATAATCGAAAGAACGTTCGAGATCTATCAATAAAAACGAGCGAGAATCGTCGATCGCAAGGCGACAGTCCTCCCGGCGGCAGATGAATGCGATATTGAAATGTCGCACCTATCGCTGTTCACCTAACAAAGGAGCCATTATCGAGTAATGCGCCACTTAGATTGGCTTGATACAAAGCCCGTTTGAACTTGCGTTCGTAAACGTTGTGTTTGCTTCTCTGTATTCGTTTTTTTTTTAATCCGTATATTGGATTGCCATCGCGTATGCGGCCGGCATTCATATTCGATTTTTAAATTTAGATCCATTATTTCGATATATCTGGCATGTGTAAGAGTTTTGATGACAATTTTAAATATATCTAAACAACTGTAGTTATTTTCGGTTATAAATAAAAGAGAGTAATGTTCATTTAATATAGATTTTTTACGTTAAAATTTAGTATTCACTAAAATGACGTGTATAATTTCTAGCTACTTCAGAAAACTGTTTGAATTTCTTAGCTAATCTAAAGGACTTAATAATTGAAATATCGTCAATTTTTTTAGAATGTATAGAGTTTGACAGATGTTTTTTTCCAGATATATATTTAACTAAGTTATTTTTCACTAAAACATTGTTAAATTAATAAGACAACCATAACAACATTATGATCGTTAACGAAAGAGTCGCCGATAAAGCGCTCGACGCATCTGCCTCCGATATCGGGGCGTTCGAATAAACGCCGCGTTTCAGCCGCCCGTCAGTCCGCCCTCTGAAAATGGGGCGACCGATAAAAAACGCTAACGAATTATAAAAAATCGTGCGCACACAATCGCGCGCGCGGACGTGTGGGCGGGCGGGCGAGATGAAATGAAATAATGAAAAAAACGGCCAAAAAGCAGGCACAAACATGCATTGTCCTCGCCCACCCCCCCTTAATGAGTGGGATCGGGGCGGCCCTCGGCACGCGCCCCAAGTGCCTGATTATCACCTGATTCCATCGGTTGTTGCTGCCGACGTTACATCAATTTCGTGCATCGCGGTGACGTAGAGTCATTCGCGACGTTTTAGTTTCTACCGCGTCTTAGATTTCAACTTAGAAGTTGAATCAGTATGTAATCGAATTGCGAAATTCGCTCATTGGCGAATGTGAATAAAGAAAAAGAAGAAATTGTAGGCGATATTCTGAGACAATTTTATTCATAACGATCAACATCCAGCCCTATCTTGAGTCCTTCTTACTGTATATTACTTAGACTTTGGGCTATATATCTGCGATGTCGACGCCTCATCAAGAATTTTATAGAAGACATTGGCTATAGTAGTAATAAAAATATTTTTTTAAACATAAGAAGAATAAAGCTTCATAATGAAAATCTTATTTTGGGCATAATAGCAAATATTATATTAAGTTAATTTACGTTTAATCTGAAGTTTAAATATTACATTTACAACGATAATTACTATTGATAAATAATGATTTGGTTTGTCTCCGTAAATATGTTCACTCTACCGTGGACTTTGCCATGTTCGTCGTGTTAGTATACATTTTAAAACCATCCAGCGTTTTAATAACAAACCGCGCCTTATATTGGAATTCTATCGTGGCATCGCGTCAGAGATAATCGTTCCATAATCGAAATAGGCCGCGCATATTAGGCATCAAAAGCAGAGGCCGAAATTAATTTGTTTATGCGAAACAAAGGTGGGCACTGGCTGCATGCATCCGTGCCTCGCCCACCTCCCGAAAAAAAACGACGAAAAAATTGGGAAAAAAGAGTGAGGGGGGAAGGGGGGTCCGCACAACCCTCCCGCGCGATCGGCATCGGACTTCTTTTTTTAATCGCGTCGCATTCAGAATGGTCGTTTTTGGTAAGCACACACTGCGCGTTGCCTATTTTCCAATTTAGATTGCTTTGTATTACCGTCTGAGCGATGCGCAATAGTTTTTGAGCCTCGTGACACGTGGGCGGCGGAAATTAAATTCCGTGTAAAATGGGGAAATGAAGACGAAAAAAAGCGGTGGGGCGGAACCACACGGGGTCTGGATGACACGACGGGATCGCGTGAAATCGACGCCCGTGGTACCGCGCCTTATTAATCTCAATTTGAGTTAAATCCGAGATGAAAACGCTCGAAACAACGGACGAGGACTCTCGCGAAATTACACATTTCATATAGCATAGAACTGTTGAAAAGTAAATTTAAAAATTCTTACGATCAATTCAAACTTTTTCGTGTGGGATTTTTTGGGTGATTCAAAAATGAATACATAAACTACACTTACTCATACACTACCTTCATTTCAAATTTCGTTCAAATCCGTTCAGCCGATGCGTATAGGATTAGTAGTTTTAATAATATCAGTGCGATTTGGCGTGTCTTCTTTATAAATTGTACCTCATCGAGACAATCATATAGACTTGAACATCGGTTAGGATTGCACTGTCGTTATTAAAAGTAATGTCGTCATAGTTTTACGCAGTTCATAATTTTGACAGTCGATTAACGAAAAGCAACTTATAAGAGGGTATGATAGATAATTAATAAATAGTACAACAATACTGATACGGATTTGATAATAGGTACCAGAAATAAATCTATGTGCGATGAAGAAATTATAATAAGCAGAATACAATATACTATGTCATTACACGAAAAATGCACACCAAATAGGAACAGCTTGTGGCGGAACAAAACGAACCTTAGATAGAAAAAGTCAGATCTACTCAACTTTCTACGGCATGACCAATTTGCAGTTTGGACATAGACAATGCGCGTAGGGTGGAAATGCGGACGAATTCGCGTCCATTTATACTTTTTACTCCATTCTTAATTATCCCTTAGATACTCAGCCCCTGGATGGGACCGGCGATGTTTCGCGCGGTGTAGATTTAGAACGTCTTGCTAGTAATTAGGTCAAAAGGCCATAATAAACTCGGTGAC